TCACCACCGTCTAGGATCATCTTTCAATCCCGTATGAAAGCATCATCACTTTGTCATTGGCAACCATTCAATAAACCAAATGTCTGACAGCTATATTAAAATTTATTGGCATTGATGCATCGAGGATCCTTACAAATATGTAATTTAAGTTGTTTTTTAAAACCACTCAAAACTCCACAAAAGCTGCATTAAAGATAAATAAAGCAACGAACACTAACTTGAATCTTTATCTTAAGAAATTGTAAACCATTAAAAAACATAAATAGCAGCATCATAATGTGGAAAACATCAAGAAAAAGATTATTCATCAAGAAGACACTTTGATTACATTTAGGCCTACGCATACCCACAAACACGTCCGTATTGGCCTTGCCCACCAGTCTGTTTCTTATGCAAGTAATCAAATTCTGCCCGCTGTGTTATGGTCTCTCTAAAGTTTACACGAGGCCTTCCAGTTTGTGCGTCAACCTAGAAATCAATGGAAGAAGGTTTGGCAGAATAGTGTCAAAATACAAATCAAGGAATACTTCCATTAAGATAATAGATATAAACTGACTGCCATTTCACATGCAAGAACAATGAAGATGGGATACGCCATTATCACATCATGCCAGTAGATATAACCAAGTTATGATAGGACAGTCAACGCTTTGAAACTAATAAGTCCACAAGGTAGACAGTGAATCATCATAGCTAAGTAAGACAATTATCTCTCCATATACAATAACAAAGAGATAATAATCACTGAATAAGTAGGAAAAAATCTAGCCAAAATTTTTATGCAAGTTTGAGATCACTATGTCGTGAAGATAGTTGACCCTGCCTAGCCAAGAGTCACTCTGTCGCCAATTACAAATTGTCTCATCAAGAGATAAACTTGTGATCTCATATAACAAGAGAATTGAGATTTTTAGGCAAACGAACTCTGCATAGTAGATTAGAAAATTGCATGAATTATAATATGTAATGGTATGAAAACTGCCCACAAAAAAAGGAGAATGGGATAACCCAACTATAAGAAACCAGAGTTATCCGATTGCAAACCAATCAAGATCAGGATAGCCATCACCTTGCATTTTAAAACCGAGTTTATCTATTAAAATCTATGCCTATAAAAGAAGCTCCATCATCAAAAACACAATATATAGTATGTGTTTTCTATCATTAAGAGAGATCTATATAAATTTTAGTAGATACTATGAATATGTGCAAGAACTTGGAATTTTTTATCACCCAAATTAATCATGCTAGAATCAAAATAGCCTGATGGTTAACATAGAATTCCACTGCATTAGGCAAGTCTGAAACTTGGCAATAGCAAGAGAATGTAGCGATAATTAACAGGATTGATAACTACTCTAACCAATGAAGACAAGCACAAACATATGCACACGCACACAAGATATACATTCCCATATAGAGAAACCTTTCTAATCCTAAATTACATTTTTGTTATTTGATATGGCCTTCCAAATTCCAAATCACATAGACTATAATCTCCGACATTAAAATACACACACAATTGAATTCAATCAACGTTTATTCACAAGTATGTCAAAAAAAACTAGAAGATTGGAGAGCATACTGGAGTCCAATTAAAAAACAATCTTAACATGTTAACAAATTAAACAAATCAAATATTCTATAAACATCATCAAGAAGGCTATGAAAATAACTACAAGGCATATAAAAAGCTCTATGAACTGAAAATTCTAATTATCTTCTCATGAATCTATTACGATAAATTTGATGCAAATGATTGAAAATCAAATGGTCTTAAATTTCTTGAAATCAAAATGTGACATTTAATATTAATGATATTGAAGACAATTAACAATGTTGATCTTTTATTTAAAGGCTGCGAGATCAAAATTTAAATTATTGGAGAACAGGCTTTCCCCTGCTAAATGCCAAAACATAAATACTGTGGAGAGTCAAATTACAACTCCATCCACACACAAATATAGAAACTCAACCACATAAATAAAACGGGTTTTGAAGCAAAAAGTGTTCTTCATAGATAAATTGACATTTCAAAACATTGTTAAATGTGAGGATGTGTAGTGTTTCCTCCACAAACTAGATTTAAGAAAATGCTGATGTTAAGAATTTCACGAACCTTATACTCCCTTCTAATGCGTTCAACATAAATATCCAAGTGCAGCTCCCCCATCCCAGAAATAATTGTCTGAAAGTGATCCATAAGTACTCGAGGTAAAAATGAAGCCATGAAATAAACTGAAACAAAGCATACCTGCCCACTTTCTGGATCCAAACCAACACGAAAAGTAGGGTCCTCTTTCTGAAATCTATTAAGAGCTTTCGAGAACTGGAATGTATTGGAAGAGAAAGTGCATCAGCAAGACATTGTATTACTTAAAGCAAAAAAAAAAAACATAAAAAAAGAATGGCTTACCTGTGCTCCAGAATCTTTAGAAATTGGTGAAACAGCCAATGACATAACTGGCTCAGGAACATTCATAGATGTCATAGTGTACCTCACAGACCCATCTGTGAATGTGTCCCCTTATAAAAAAGATATAAAAATAGCTCGGAAATCAGCGATCAAAGCAAGGATATTGTAAAAAAAATAAAATAAAATATTGCATTTTGTACCTGAAGCACAATCAATGCCAAAAACCGCTACAATCTGCCCAGCATGAGCTTCTTGAATATCCTGTTAGATCCTGATCCATATTAGCAGTTAAGCTGAAAATACTAAAGAAACCATAGAATTTTTACGCTTAGAACGAAAGCAAACAGCTTAAGCAATTAGCCCATATTAAGAAAAGCTGTAATAAAAATACTTCTCCAAAAAGGCTACCAAGAAAATGTCTAACCTCCATTTCATTAGAATGCATACGAACTAAACGAGGAACCTGAAAATAAAAAATTAATATCTCATTATCATCATTATCACTGTCATTAGCCACATTCAAACAAAATTGGGGACGCAAACAAATCAGTAGTGATATTTTAACGTGAAAAAAATATGTAAGTGAATGAAAGGAAAATATTTTCATCAGAAATCATAAAGAAACATAAGCAAAAAAATATTGGAGCAAAATCTTCTTTTCAAATACTTCAATTTAAACCACGGATGTAGATTCAAAACAAACTGAAGTATGCCACACAGACTGTGGAACAACAATCTAAATAGAAAAAACAACATACTAAGGTGGATGTTTTTAAAATGCCATTTTAGAAATGCATAATAATTGGAATTTATGTATTACTAACGTAAAACAAATACACTTAAATGATTTTTGGTGTTTGTTATAACCATTTTAGATACAATGATATATAGCGGACATCGGCGTGTGGTGGCTCTGGGGGTATCAAGCAGTGGCAAGCAAGCAGTGCTGGAGGGGGTTGGCAATAGCAATGAAGATAGGTGAGGAAGGTGACGACACGGGCTTTTGAGTTTTCCTTGTATTTGATTTACTTCAAACTAAAGTAAACTTGATAAAAAAAAATCAAAACTCTTACTTTCCTTTTATTTTACTCTCCTAATACTTGCAACGGCATGACAAAAAAAATATAATTAGGTAAGATATAAAGAATATAAAGCTGAATAAAGCTGCTTTCACTAGAACTGAACAGAAGCCACCCCCTCTCTCTCTCTCTCGCTTCCATAAATATAGCACAAAGGTAACTTCAAATTTACCCTCTCATAATAACATCTACATAAAAATGATGTCCCCTTGAGTTCTTTTTTTGTTTACATAAAATGTTAATTAATCAGATTATACCTTGATCTTTTTCCCTGTATTTATGTTGATGATGAAGTCGCCCTTTTTTATAATACCTTCATAGATTCTATCACACACACAAAAAAAGATATAAACATCAGCATTTCATGTTTAATAATGAAAGTAATAAGTTAGAAAATGGGCAACGAAAATGAAAAAAAAAACAAAAGAAAGTTAGAAAACCTTAAATAGGTCAATTGGCCAAAGCGACCCTCTTCCAATTTGAAAGCCAGAGCAACAAGAGGTCCAGCAGGATTTCCAGATAACCGAACCTTCGACAAAGAATTAAGTATTAAAAAAACAACTAACTCACAAAATAACATTTTCAAAAAAAATGCGCAAGTAAAGCAGTGCATGTATAGAAAACAATATGCACCTTGACTTCAGACTGATCCTGGTCCAGTGCATGATTTTCAACTTCAGTGGGACAGGGCAAAAAGTTAACCACCCCATCAAGAAGAGGTTGTACACCCTACAGAAATTTTAATTTACATCCTATCATGGATTGGATAAATTTGAGGCACAATCACAATAAAATACAGAACTAACAGAACTAACATGGCTCTGAGAAAATATGCAAATTTAACAAATTTATGGAGACTATCAAGAAAATGACAGTTCACAGAAAAAACAATAGTTCATTTTAGCACCTTGTTCTTAAAAGCACTTCCCATATAAACAGGCACAAATTTTCGTGAAACTGTAGCCCTGCGGATAGCCATCTGAAATGATAAAAAGACAAAAATATTGGAGGATCATAGAAGGAAATTTTAAAAAGCATTTACAAGTATATAAATATGAAGTTCAATTAAGTTATAACACCCTAAGATAAGGTAACCAAAAACATATATGAAGCAAGTCTCTTATCTTCAAATCAGATGTACAAGGTAAGAAAATGCAATAAAAAAACATCACTCATAGAAATACATGGAACTACAAATGCCTATATAAGCATATAAAAACTAACGTCATACACTAAGAAAGATAGAAATAGAAAAAAACAATACAACAACAACAACAGCAACAAAGCCTTAATCCCACTACGTGGGGTCGGCTACAAGAATCCTTTTCTCCATTGCGTCCTATTTAGTGTCATATTTTCATTTAGTTCTAGTAAATTAAGATCATTTTTAATACAATCCCTATAATATACACCATAATACAAACTAAAAAAAACATCTATGTATAAAAGTGTCTAAGAAGTTAGTTTATAAATATGTTTTCAAAACACCTTGAGATCATCTGATGATATAGACTCATCATTAAGAAAAGACTCAGCAAGTTGATCATCAACTTCAGAAACAACTTCTATAAGTTCGTGTCTCTTTTCTGCGACCAATGCCTCAATATCTGAAGGGACATCAGATGTAACAATATTCTCACTGCAAAGAAAACAAAAATGTTAAATCTGAATCTAATGATATTTGAGGTATCAGAATTAAAACAACTCAAGCAGGTAAACATAAATGATCTGTGCTCACGCTATAACATACCCATTGGATCCATGAAAATAATAAGCTTTCATTTCAACAAGATCCACAAGGCCCTGAAACTCCTCTTCCAATCCAATTGGAACTTGAACTGCTGCAGAATGGTGCCGAAGCTTGGATCTTGCCTGAAAAAAATTATATCTGCATCAGGACCTCATGACTCAAATGTCTTCTGAATTACAAATAGAGTGAAATTAAAGCCATGTTGCATGGTAGAAGGAGCAAATGAGCAAATGCCAATCTACCATGGATTATTCCTACGTACAGAAGTATTATATTTCTTAACATGATTTTTCATGTTTCTTACTAATGGTTTTCAGTATCTAACCAACTGTCTTCATTTTTTAAAACTTAAGCACACATGAATTTTCACCAAAAAAGAAATTAGACGGGAAACTAAAATCTATTTTCTGGCAATATAATGTGTGTTGTCCAATTGCAACAAAATAATAATTCAACAAATTTCCTACAGAA